TCTAGGGTACAAAATTGGGGGTTTTTGCATATCTTGAGGGAGGGGTTTCTAATTCCCAATTTCTGGTTCCTTAGTGAATTTTTCTTCAGTATTTGTTGCCAAGCATGCTTAATTTGAGTTGATTGTCTCTAAAATAATGTAATTGTTGTGTATAAAGTATATAAGTATGTGTATTAATTGATTTGTATGAAAAGCATGCCTAATTTCCATGCGTTCGATGTTTATTATCCTGCGAAATTGCTATGTGGAAGCATGTTAAATTGTGTAGTAGAAATTCTTTTATTTTCATAGTAATATCAAAGTATGTGACATGCATTTATAGCATTGGGTATGGAAAAAAAGCAAAATGATTTGAAGTAAATGAAAAAGGGATTTTTAGGGCAAAGTTTTGATTAAAGTGATTTTATGAAAAACCCGGTCACCGCGGAGTCACAAAAGGGCCGTGGTGTTAATGTAACCTAGAGGGGACTAGGGGAATCACCCTAGCGTGGTTGAGCTATCTGAGCCCCAAATGATGCCGCGGAGGTACCAAAGGTTAGGGACAGTAGCCAATCCTCTTCTCACGTCGCTGCGGAGTCACCAACGGATGGGTTATATTAACAATTTGTGAAGTGATGGATGATTTTGAAAATGGGGAGCGACATAGCACGGTATTGCATTTTATAGCACCATATTGCTCATTTGGACTTGCTATTGATGTTGTATTTCCCGGTAAAGCATGATCCCATTTTCTACATCTCTATTCTTTGTTTGGATTCATGAGACAAGAGGTGTGTCTTAGGCACCACCTACTGAGCAATTTCCTCCCCCATTACATTTAACAATTTTTAGGATTCGGAAAGGAAATAGTGAACACCGACCCATCACAAGCTTGAACGAGGATAGAGTTTCCTTATTTTGCTTTCTTTTGTATCGTAACCCATTCTTTTGTAAAGCTGTAAAACTATGAATGTAATTATTTTGTAATGTAACTATAATCTCTTGACAACACTTGATGTATATTTGAAACTATGGGATCATATGGAGGTGATTTGGATGACGGGTAATGGCCTACATAGGATTACATGGGAAGTCATTTGTATTGTTGTGTGATTATTTGCTACGTATTTTACTATTTGAAAAAGCATGCTTAATTGTTTATTTGCCTACGTGCTTATGTGTTTATGTTAATGTGTTCATTACATGATCACGCATTCTAAGTGTTTGTGTAGCACCGTTGTGTTGAGTCACCCTCGATTAGACCTTAGTGTTATGTTATTGAATTGTTTCCTTGTTTTATAGCATGATGCCACTGCGAAAGGAACCAAGGGGTGTTGGCTCTAGGCCGACAAGATGAGATATTGATGAGAGTTCTAGCTCCAATCCCGTGGAGCAGGTTGAAGAGGATACACTTCTTAGGGACTTGATTCCCCTCAGAGGTCTCTCCACACGAAGGGACAATGTTGAAGCACCCGTTGAAGAGGGTGAAAGCTCAGCTAAGCTAGCACTGAACCGTTTGTTATAGAGTGCCTTAAGGGTTACAATTGTTACTCTTTCGCAACCGGTACCATAGTCGGTAGTTCAGGTAAAGGAGACGCCAGCATAAAAACGTCTCAAGTTAATTTCAAGGTTTTCTAAGTTGATGCCAGTGATGTTTGAGGGTGGTGCAGATCCAATGGTAGCAGACGACTACATGAATCAAGTAAAAACCCATTTAACTTCTATAGATATGACGGATGATCATATGAAAATCATCCTAGCCACTTACAAGTTTTCAAAAGATACTAAGCTTTGGTGGAAGTCGGTCACAAATCAGCAAAAAGTTGAAGAGATGAGCTGGGATATGTTCAAGGAGCTATTTTATGAGAAGTATTTTCCAGTTACCAAGAGATGAGAACTAAGGGAGCAGTTTAATGGCCTTATCCAAGGCAGTATGTCGGTGACTGTAAATGCAAGAAAATATCTCTCCTCATTTCTCTAATATCTCTTTCTACAATTTTTCTATATCTTCTATGCCTATTTATAGGTAATTACAAGTGTTATAACTAACTTCTTATGTTGGACTCTCAGCCTTCGGGCCTTCTTCCTTTCGGGCTTGACTCAATCCGGTAGATCTCCGGTGTTGGGCCTGTGGTATTAGTCTTCGAGCTTGGGCTTGAACTTGCTGCCCAACCCGATGCTCTTATCTTGGGTCAGACCTGGCCCACTCTACCTTCGGTATCTTCAACTGCCCTCATAATTACTCCCTAATAAATTAGGGGGTAATTATTAGTGGCTGCAAATTATGACTTTGATGGCTCAAGAAGATCTCTTGGGAAAAAGGTGGTTGGACCTAGAAATGATGCCTTGAGATTCAAAAAACCCATCGTTTTCCTGATGCTTCGGCCTTCGGGCCCACTTTATCTTTATAAGCCTCAAGGATGCCCCCACATTCCTCTTTACTGTCTCCATCTTGCCTTGCTGTTAGACGAATCCTTACTTGTCCCTTTCGAATCAAATCAAATCTCTTCTGGCGAACTCTTGTGAAAGCTCCTTTTCCAACGATCTCACAGTGTTCTTTGAAGTTTCCAGTCTTCGAGGTTAGTTTCCCTTCTATTTCTTCTTTCTGGGGATTTGTTTTACTTTCCCAAAGTTCTTGTTCACTTTCATCATGACAATCGACTTAGATATCCTTCACATAAAACTTAATCTCCCTAGTGATGTTCAAATTAGAGTATGCCCCAAGGATGTAGACGTTAGAACTGGAACGGGTCTCTTTCCCGGCGAAGTTCTATTTTCCCATCTTCATCTTAACGTCATTAGGTTCCCTCTGCACCCCTTCTTCAACTACGTTTTTAATAGATTAAGGATTTCCCCTTAGCAGGTAAATCCAAATTTCCTTAGAATCATATCCGTTATATTGCTTCTGACCCATGACAGAGGTCTGGATCTTGATCTCATAGATCTTCTCTTTTGTTACAAGGTTAGCAGAATCCGAACTGAGGAACCATTCTACCACTTCTACCCGTTTGACAAGAAGTCCATATGTAAGGACACAATCAAGTCTGAGAAGGGTCGGAGAAAGAACATAATAGGGGTTAAGGGGGCCTGGTCTTCCACGGCTACAAAGGATTGTCCAATCTCGAGCGCCTTTGGCGTGTGCTCTGTTTCTTCGTATAAGAAATACAAAACTCATAAGAACTATTGTCCCTGTGAAACTTGTATTCCTCGCTTTTGCACTTTCTTCTGCCATTCCCTGGGTATTCCTTGTAATGACTTGAGTTATGGTGTTTGCAGGGACAGGGTTAATGACCTGAAGAAGTACGTTTTGAACAACATCCCTTCCTGCTCAGACCTCCTTACTTCAGATAACCTTTCTGCTCTTTCAGTCCTCGACAACGCAATGAGTCAGCTCAGGATCCCATCCTTTGGTAGGAAGAAGGACCCCCCAAGGACCATTGATGCTTCTACTGCTACCTCTTCTCCTGCCTCGGCATCTTCTTCTGCCACTATCTCTGGTACTTCCCCTCCTATCAATCCAACCGTGGTAACTGCAAACCCAGCCATCAACGTTCTGCCTACCAATCCGAGCACAACTTCCATAGTCAGCAAGCCTCCGAGCGCTGCCACTGTTGCTGCTCATGAAAAAAAGAGAGGGAAGAGGCCTCTGCCTGAGGGTGAATTTGATCCAGATGGTGTCCCTCCAAGCAGAAGGGTTTGCACCTCTGGGCCGAATGTGCTCGTGTCTCCACCAATCAAGCCCCCTCCACCCTCTGGGTCTGTCGCAGCCAATGCTTCTACCTCTGTAATGGCACCATGGAGTCCTCGGTTCGTCCGAGCGGATGGGACAAGCGTGAAACCGAACGAGACAATGTTCAGGGATGGTCCTACTGCCATGGCATACTACAAGAATATGTGGACTCCCAAGGACATTGAAGTGGCCAGAGGCTTGTCTCAAAAGGAAGTGTTCAGCCGCTTCCCCTTATCTGCCATGGAGGTATCTGTTTTCCCCTTTAATCACCAAATATTTTCATAGTCTCTTCCCTTGATCCCTTCTGACCATGCACTTGATTTAACCAGTATTCATGCATATCTCTGCAAACCTTATTCGGTATGATGGCCATGCAGAAGCAAGTGGAGTTGGGGAATGCCAAGGCTCTTAAGTTTTCTGACGGCCTTGATGCGGCCAAGAAGGAAAATGAAATCATCAGCGCCAAAAATACCGAGCTGGTGGTTCAGCTTGATAAGGTTGAGAAAGAGAGAGACGCTCTGAAAAAAGAGGCAGACACTCTCCAAGATGAGAAGGACGCTCTGCAAATCGAGAAAAGTGTTTGGCACACTGAGCGTGACTCACTTAAGACTAAGAAGGGTGAACTTTAGTGCTTGCTTAATGATGAGCAGACCGCTTAAATGGCTTTCGAGAGGAGGGCCTTGGAAGAGCGTGACGCCCTACTTAACATTATTGGCAAAGTGTATAGCGATATGATGGCTCTTCATGCACGCTTTTCCAGGGTAGGTGCCCTTAGGTATGCACAGGGGTTCCGAGAGGGTTACACCGACACGTTCCTACTGAAGGCCAGACCAGTTCTACTCCGGATGAGGTTGACAAGGAGTTGGACATTGATCCTCCGGGAACCTATGTTGATCCGGATTCACTCCTGCTGAGCATATTTTTGATGAGTGTCAGGAGATTGCTTCTTCCAGGGTCACTCCTACTCCCACCACTGATCAGCCCATGGATGTGCCTTCTGCAACCACCGTCGAGGTTGAGACTCAGCAGATCAACTCTGTTATTCAGCTTGACTCTCCTCCTCGTGAAGATGGGGTGACCAATGGTGGCGAAGAGACAAGTCAGCTCAACCAGGAGGTTGATCGAACAAAGGCAGCCAGTTAGGGCTTTCCTGTTGCCTTTTTTTTTTTTTTTTTTTTTTTTTTGTATTCATGTCATCTATAGACTTCATAGGCTGTAACCTCAAAAATTTCTATTATAAATGAGATGGCAAATTTTTGGCTGAACCTTGTTCCAAATTTTTTTTATTTTCTCATTGATTACACCTGCTCGTCAGTAACAACAATTAATTTCATATTCAGTTTCGGCAAGTTTTTGGCGTTCGGCTCATAGTGCCAGCTGCCACTAACTTTCCAGAGTGGTTGGCGCTCGGCTGGAATGCCACTTGCCACTATCACTCTTTATTTTTGGCAAGTTTTTGGTATTCGGCTCATAGTGCCTGCTGCCACTAACTTTCCAGAGTGGTTGGCGCTCGACTAGAATGCCACTTGCCACTATCACTCTTTATTTTTGGCAAGTTTTTTGGCGTTCGGCTCATAGTACCAGCTGCCACTAACTTTCCAGAGTGGTTGGCACTCGGCTAGAATGCCACTTGCCACTATCACTATTTTTTTTTGGCAAGTTTTTAGCGTTCGGCTCATAGTGCCAGCTGCCACTAACTTTTCAAAGTGGTTAGCGCTCAGCTAGAATGCCACTTACAACTATCACTCTTTATTTTTGGCAAGTTTTTGGCGTTCGGCTCATAGTGCCAACTGCCACTAACTTTTCAAAGTGGTTGGCGCTCGGCTAGAATGCCACTTGCCACTGTCACTCTTTATTTTTGGCAAGTTTTTGGCATTCGGCTCATAGTGCCAGCTGCCACTAACTTTTCAGTGTGGTTGGCGCTCGGCTTGAATGCCACTTGCCATTGTCACTCTTTATTTTTGGCAAGTTTTTGGCATTCGGCTCATAGTGCTAGCTGCCACTAACTTTTCAGATTTTCAAACATTCAATTTTTTCATAGGAAGATAGCTCTTTATAGATTTCAAAATTTCGTACATTTATGCGTACACAATTTGGAAATGAACCATGATAAAATTGGAACTTGATTTTCCAATTGATAATACATTTTCAGAGATGTAGCATTCCATGGCTTGTTGACCAGCCTTCCAACCATGGTTTCTAAGGTGTAACCTCCATTTCCTAAGACTTCTGCAACTCTATATGGGCCTTCCCAAGGTGCCACCATTTTCTTAACCATTCTTACCTTCTTCTTCAGGACCAGATCACCTGGTGTAAAGTCTCTGTGCTTTACCTTTTTGTTATGGCTATTCATAAGTGTCTGTTGGTAGGATGCGAGCCTTACTGCCGCTGTATCTCTCTTTTCCTCCAACATATCGAGGTTAAACCTCAACATACTATCGTTATGCTCTCGGCTCCATGCCAAGCTTCGGACAGTCGGAACCAAGTGTTTGACCGGTATAACTGCCTCGGTACCATACGCCATGGCGAATGGGCTTTCTCCGGTTAGTCGCCTTGGGGTCGTTCTATAAGCCCATAAGATGTTCAGTAGTTCATCTAACCATTTTCCTTTCTGATCTTCAAGCTTCTTCTTGATGCAAGCAAAGATTGTTCTATTCGTGATTTCTGCTTGTCCATTGGCCTGGGGGTGACTTATTGCCGCCAGGTTTTGATTAATTCTATATTCCTCCAACAACTCTCTTACTTGCTTGCTGTCAAGGTTGGTCCCATTATCCATGACGATTGACCTCGGAACACCAAAACGGCAAATAATATTACTCCAAATGAACCGTCTCACATGAGTCTGAGTCACGCTCGAGTACGGCTCTGCTTCCACCCACTTAGTAAAGTAATATGTAGCCAGCATCATATATTTGTTTTGAGCTCTTGCAGTTGGCAGAGGACCAACCACATCCATCCCCTATTGTGCGAAAAGCCATGGTGTGGCCATTACGTGCAACTCCTCAGGTGGTTGGTGGATCAATGGTCCGTATCTTTGGCATTTGTCACACCTTCTAGTGAACTCTTCTGCATCTCTTGACATGTTCGGCCAGAAGTACCCCTGTATCATTGCTTTGTGCGCTAAAGATCTTCCCCCGGAATGATTTCCACATACACCTTTATGAATAGCTCGCAGTATCTGCCGAGCCTCTGCGGGGGTGACACATTTCAAGTATGGTCCAGAAAAAGATCTTCTGTACAACTGGTTATGCACTATGGCATACTTTGCAGCATTCAATTTGACCTTCCTAGCCTCTTCCCGTTGCTCGGGCAAAGAACCATCTCGAATGTAGGTTATGATCGGATCAATCCAACTTGATTCATACGGTATGAGATTTACTTGCCAAGGATCGGAGCCTATAGGCTCTTCGAAGATAGATGGCTGGCTCAGTATACCTATTGGAATCACCCTTGCCAATGTCTCCCCAGAACTCGAAGCACTGCATGCTAACCGATCGGCCTCGTCGTTATGCTCTCTTAATAACCGGATGAATTCAATTTTCTCAAAGCCTTTGGTTGCACGCAGCACGGCAGAACGATATGCTTCCATCATTTTGTCCTTGGTTTCGTACTCACCATTCACCTGACGGACAATCAACTGTGAGTCGCTAAAAGCGGTTAAGTTGCTGACCCTGAGCTCTTTGGCCAACTTTAGTCCATTGAGCAACACCTCGTATTCTGTTTCATTATTAGTGGCTCGAAATTCAAGTCTGAGCGCTTGGCTCAAAGATGTGCGCTTTGGCGTTTGTAATTTGATCCCAATACTTGCCCCCATCTGGTTGGAGGAGCCATCTACGTAGAGCTTCCATAGACATCTGCTAAGGTCTTCTTTTGCATCTTCTGAATCGCACTCCAGCAAAAAATCAGCCACCACTTGCCCTTTGATAGCTGTTCTAGGCTCATACGTTATGTTAAATGAGCTTAACTCTATGGCCCATTTTGTCATTCTTCCCGAGAGGTCCGGCTTGTGCATGAGCACTCTGATTGGGAAAGTTGTCAGAACGACTATAGGATGGGACTCGAAATAATGCCGCAGCAATATCTTGGCATTAACGAGCGAAAGTATTACCCGTTCAACTTTTGAATATCTTCGTTCAGCTTCGGTCATCGTTTTACTAACATAAAAAACTGGGTACTGCACTCCTTCTTTGCAACGAATCAACACGGCACTTGTTGCAATGCTAGATACCCCAAGATACAAAAATAACTTCTCTCCTGGATCAGGAGCAGACAAGACTGGTGGATTTTGCATATACTCTTTTAATTGAGTCAGTGCTTGTCGCTATTCATCCCCCCAGACCTGTCTCCCATGGCTCTGTATTGTGTCAAAGAATGGCTTATAACGATCTAACAGCTTTGAGATAAACCGACTTAGCGCAGCTATTCGACCCATGAGAGCTTGCACTTCTTTGATTGTCTTCGGTTCCACATTTGTGATCAGAGCTTCTGCCCGAGCTGGGCTAGCCTCTATTCCTATGTGGTTAACTACATGTCCTAGGAATTGGCCAGAACTCACGCCGAATGAATACTTGTTTGGATTAAGGCTTATTCCATATCTTCTTAGCACATCGAACACGTCTTGGAGATGTTTCAAATGATCAACTTTCTTCTTACTCTTTACCACCATGTCAGCAATGTAAGCCTCCATAGTTTTTCCCATCTGATCTTTAAAAATCTTGCTGATCAGCCTCTGATAGGTTGCTCCTGCATTCTTTAGTCCGAACGGCATGACTCTGTAGCAGTAAGTCCCTTGTTCGGTAACGAAAAAAGTTTTCTCTTCATCAGCGGGGTTCATGGGGATTTGATTGTAGCCTGAATAAGCATCTAGGAAGGTTAAACGCTCGTACCCCATGGTAGCATCTACCATTTGGTCAATCTTTGGGAGTGGGAAGTTATTCTTCGAACAGGTTTTGTTTAAATTGGTGAAGTCAATACACACTCGCCATTTGCCATTTTTCTTTGGCACAATGACAACATTTGAGAGCCAATCTGGGTACTATACTTCCCTAATGAACGTTGCATCAAGTAACCTATTAACCTCTTCGGCTATAATCTGATTGTGTTCTGGAGCAAACCTTCTCTGCTTCTGCCTTACAGGTTTTATGGTCAAATTAACATTAAGGGAATGACAGGATACAGAAGGACTGATTCCAGGCATGTCTAAGTGACTCCATGCGAACACATCAGCATTCCGAGACAAAAAATCAATTAGCTCCCATTTTTCGTCCTCGGCAAGTCTTATTCCCACTCTAGTTGTTCGCTTTGGCCTGTCATGGTGGATCTGCACATCAGTAAGAGGCTCTTCAGTTAAGTCCATAGGCTCCTCCTCCCCATTCTGTGTGGGTGGAGGTTCCTGTAATTGCTATTTCGAGCTTGCCGAGCGAATAGCTGTTTTTCCTTTCCCAGCAGATTTCATCGTCACAGAATAACACTCTTTAGCTGCAACCTGGTCCCCATGAATGTCAATTACCTTATTTCCGTTAGGCCCTAAGCACCTCATTACCTGGTGCAGAGTTGAGGGAACACCCTGAACTCTATGAATCCACCCTCTGCCCATCAGAAGGTTATAAGACGGGTGGATCTCAACTACCACAAAGCTCTCTATTAGAACCATTTTTGCAGCCTGTACTGCAACTTCGACCATACCGATGGGTTCAACCCATTTTCCCTCGAACCCTAGCAAGGGATTTGCAGTGGGCTTGAGCCTCTCGGGTTTTATTTCAAGCCGATCGAACGTATCCCTCGACATAACATTCGCACTGCTCCCAGGATCAATCAGGACTCGTCGTACCAGGCATTCTGCTACTGTCAAACTGACGACTAACGGATCCTCGTGAGGAATTTGAACGCGTAATAGGTCAGTTCTGTCAAACTTGATCTGTGTTGATGCACTCTGCTGGTGCAGAGTGTTTACACTGCCTATCCTCCTTTTCATCCGTGCCTGGCGAAGGCGTGTTTGAAGCAGTTCATTTGACTCCTCAGTAAGTTCAGGCCGACCATGAATTGCATTGATTATTCAAACTGGTTGCGTATTGTGGGAGTTCGACTTCTGATTCCTCTTCACTTACTCCATCGGTCGGTTCTGTTCTACCGCCGGGCATTGAATATAACTTGTGAACTCCCCTTTGGCTATCAGCATCTCTACCTATCTCCTTAAGTTCCTGCATTCATTAGTCTAATGGCCAAAGTCAGAATAGAATGCACAATGCTTAGACTAATCCCTCTGCTCTAGGGGCTCTCTGATTGGTAAAGGAGATCGGAACTTATCTTTATTTTCTTGGTACAACCTTGCTAAGGTGACTTTCAATGGAGTAACCAGCTCTTCCTCCCTAGGCCTCTTCTTAGATTTCCAGGAAGTCTGATGCTGTGGCTGAACCTGCTTTTGTCTGATCTTTGCTTTGGTTTTCTCTTCTGTTGATATAATGGATGTTTTCCGAGCGTTAGCTGCCTCTTCTTCTTCCAAGCGCACAAATCCATCAGCTCTTTCATTAAGTTCATCCATAGTCTTCGGCGTATTCACTACCAAGCTTGTGTGGAATGGAGTGCCACGAGTCATGGCCAATTTAAATGCTTGAACCGCCGTAGAAGGATGACATTCAATAACCATGCTCTTAGTAAGGTTAAACCTGGTAAGGAAAGCTTGGAGACGCTCGTCCTCATGCTGCTTCATTGTGAATAGGCTTGAAATGTCTTTTGCTGGACGTTTATTTCCATAATACTGGCTTATAAACCGGTCACACAAGCTTCAGAAACTATCCACTAAGCCCCTCGGCAGGTTCTTGAACCAATTGAGCGCTGGTCCAGCTAGACTTGTAAGGAAGCACTTGCACATCAAGGAATCATTCTCAGTGTTCAGAGCCATATTCAACTAGATGTGATATACATGATCAATCGGGTCGGTCGTCCCGTCGAACAGAATGAAAACGGGCATGGAAAATTTCCTCGAACTCGGAGGATTCAGAATTTTATCGGTGAACGGCGAATCAACCGTTCGAGCTGCTGAACGGAGAGCTTCATTTTCCCTCTAGAACCCCACGGTTGCTCTCTGATCTACAAATCTCCTTTCTGAGTTTCGATAGTCGAGCGTCGCCATGGAAGGCTGATAAGTCGGATCAAATGATCTTTACTCCATAAACTCTTTGTGCCACGGCGGTATAGCTTTGTAGCGATCAAACTCCATTGCTTCTTCTCGGCTGACCATTTCTTGATATGGATCGAAAGTCATGGTTTCGTTTCGCCTGATCTGTTCACGCCATGGATCCACGTGAGTTGATCCTTCATGATCATCAACACGACGAGGATTTGGCGGCAAATCATTTGGCCGGACTTCCTCGCGGTGAAGATCTTTCTGATTGTTCCCTACCTCCTCACCGTGATGTGCCGCATCGGTACGTATAACTTCTTCTCCTGCCAGGAACGGTTGCGGAATCACCGGAACTTCTTGACGCTGCATTTCAGTCCTTAGATCTGCATTCTCTCTCCTGAGAGCTTCGATCATGCTCATCAACTCATCAAGTTTCATCTGCTGGACATTCTCTACCGTATCAGAGTTCTCACCCCCAGTCATCATTCCAGAACAGAGCAAAGGCATGAATCACAAATTCTAAGTTAGATCTGAGTTATGCTGACGCGAATCACGTCAAATCTGGACTCAAATTTTACGAGTTATGTTCTCCCTTCGATAGATTAGAGCTTTTTTGGCGTTTGAGCTTGCTGGATCGAGCCACGATAGAGTGAATCACAGCTGCGTAAACCTAACGCTAATTTCTCATAATCAATCAAGAATCAAGAACTTCTCAAGAGCAAACCACAATCTCTTAGATCTGGATTAAACTTCTAGAAATCAAGCTTCGTCGTCACCAATCAGTCTGAATCAACATGACGTTGATCAAACAAGAATCAACCTTCAACGTTTCCCACAGACAGCTCCAATTGTAAATGCAAGAAAATATCTCTCCTCATTTCTCTAATATCTCTTTCTACAATTTTTCTCTCTCCCTTTTCCTATATCTTCTATACCTATTTATAGGCAATTACAAGTGTTATAACTAACTCTTATGTTGGACTCTCAGCCTTTGGGCCTTCTTCCTTTCGGGCTTGACTCAATCCGATGGATCTCCGGTGTTGGGCCCGTGGCATTAGTTTTTGTGCTTGGGCTTGAACTTGCTGCCCAACCCGATGCTCTTATCTTAGGTCAGACCCGGCCCACTCTACCTTCGGTATCCTTAGTGACCAAGTGCGATAACAAGTTCACGTCTCTTTCTCGCTTTGCTTCAGAGATGGTGAGCAATGAAGTTGACAAGACTCGAAAGTTTGTTTCTGGTCTTGATTACAAAATGAGGCCGTTGATGCAGAGGCAGTGGAAAAAGCATTGATGTTAGAAGCGGAAGCTAGGGATAGAAATACAGGAAAGGAATAGTAGAAACAAAAGAGGAATGCCAGACCATCTTTAGAGGGACCTTCATGGAAGAGGAATAGGGGTAGTTCATCTCAGTTTTAGGGGCAGCAGTCAGCACAATCCGCTCCCACTACTCATATGCCAACTGGGTCTGATAAGAGTGGAGTTGCTTGTTTTCAATGTCAGTAGCCTAAACATTACAAGTTCAATTGTCCTATGCGATCATCTTCAGTTTCTTCAGCTCCGAGAGCTTGTTATGGGTGTGGACAACAAAGATATTTGATTCGAAACTGTCCAAATCAGGGAGCAGGCACCGGTAGTGGCAGAGGGTCACAGCAGAGGCCGTCACAGTCGGCTACAGCTCAGTTAGGTTTCAGAGCACCGCCACCACCACAGCTTGCCATGTCTTCACAAGGATCCCGACCAGCTAGGAGGGATACTCCTACTATAACAGTATAACAATCAGGTATTCAGGTTGGCAGTTCTCAAGCACAGGCACCACAGGGACATGTCTTTGCACTTGCTTAGACTGATGCATCTCCTGGTCTATCAGTTCTCCGAGGTATCTTTCTAGTGTTTGGTTCTTGGGCTCATATTCTCTTTGACTCTAGTGCATCTCATTCATTCATTGCATCATCATTTGCACTTGCATCAGGGTTAGAGGTCAGTTTCATGGATCGGGTGTTATGTGTTGATACGCCAGTTGGGGTTACAGTGTCTTTGAGCAGAATTATGAAAGATTGTTCCATCGTGATAGTCGGGCGAACTTTTGTGTTTGACCTTATCCTCCTGAAGATGACTAGCTTTGATGTCATTATCGGGATGGATTGGTTAGCTTCATTTCATGCTACGAT